TCCCAAAGGCCCACGACCAAATACCGTCACATTGGGGGTTAGGGCCTTCACGTATGGATTTTCGGGGAACACAAACATTCAGTCCGCAACAATTCATATATGGCAGACCTGGGTTTCACAATTAAAGAGGATTTCGGGAATGCTTGAGTTACATTACTAAGCATAATCATAAGACATCTTTGGAGGTAGGGGTTATTACCATCCTTCCCATCTTATAGGGGAGGACACTGTAGAACAAAGAGATGAAGATGCCCAACTAACCAGTGATGGAGCCTGGATTTGAACCATACTAGCCCAGAGTCCTCATGCCTCATGCATTATAATGCACTGCTCCACCATCCAGAATGGAAGACGAGGGCCCTGTGTACCTAGAAGTGGCTCCTTGGAGCTGCCGGTGAACACGTAATGCTGGGCCAGGCAGACTGTTGCTTTGACCCAGCTCGGAAATACTTACAGGAACGTAATTCTAACCTTCAAAGAATAGGAAGACATAAAATGCAACTTTCTGATGCAGATTAAAATCCATTCAGTCATGGGGCGCCTGGGTGGCTCTGTCAGATGGGTGTCTGACTCTTGATTCCAGCCTGGGTCTTGGTCTCAGGGTTGTGAGTTTGAGCCCCATGCTGGGCTCCACACTGGGCATGGAGCCTACTTAAAAAAAATCCATTCAGCCATGAATCACTGTATTGTACACCTGAAACTAATATAACACTGGATGTTGACCATCCTGGAATTAAAATACTTTAAAAATCCACTCAATCATGAAAAACATTCATCTTCTGCCTGGATATTTCCTTTCTTTTCAAGAGTTTGGTATAGTCGCCAAACAAAGAGACAACACAACCCATTCTCATTTCTCAGACCGCAGGCTCTTCTCTCAGACCAGAAAGGGACAATTTTCAGTGTCCACAGCTAGTACTCCAAACAGTCCCCAGGGAAAAGAGGAAACACATGTCTATAAATAAATATATAAGTAAACAAACAAATAAATAAATAAATAAAACAGAAGCAAAATACAATATGCTGTAAACCCCTAACACAAAGCCAACAAATAAACCATTTGCCTCTTAAAAAATGATTTCCACATTCACCCCAAAAACCTTTGCTCCTTTTCCACTAGAACACCCAGGTCCAACTTCCACAATGCTATCCCCTGGGCAGGTAGAGGTGACTTGTGCCCATTTCATAGATGAAACAATCAAGGTCAAGAAAAGTGTAAGTGTGTGCTTGCAGGACATCACCTAGTGCCCACCCCCCGCCCCGCCCCAGCACTCACACTGCCATCAGGGGTTCTTCCATGGAGATAATGGGAGACCAGGGTGCAGGAACCCTCAGGCAAATGAACACACTGCTGGACCCTGGGATGGTCTGTGCTCAGGTAGCCCCTCCAGGGGGCATTGAGAAGAAGGGGCGGGAAAGGTCAGGCAGCAAGGCTGGTGTGCCTGGCAGCAGTGTCTACTGAGCTGTGAGATTATTCCCCTTTGAGCTGGGTATTGGCCTAAGGTCACTGGTGTCCTTCAAAACCACTCTGTTCTCGGGCTCCCAGCCACGCTCCTTGGTCTACTTGCCAAGGAGGAAGCAGGTGGACGGGCCTGGCAGTGGGCTGGGCTGCTGGGAGGCTGGCACTGGATGGCTGGAGCGGGGACAGAGCTGAGCTGGTGCCAAGTGCCAGCCAGAGGGTGGAGGACCCTCACTAAGGCGGCACTCGGGGCTCCTCTCTGGCAAAGGGCGTGAGCAGCCGTGATGGAGTTACCGGGATCTGTCCTGCGTTAGCATATACCTCCAGTCAAGCAATCACCATCAGTCAGTGAGCATTTTCTGCGCCCCTCCTTTGTGGCGGCACCACTGGCTAGAAATGCAAAGACAAAAGACAAAGTCCCCAGCCTCAAAGACTATATAGGTTAACAGGAGATGGGCCCCTCCTTGGGGAAGGAACTGGTGCAGCCTCTGTGGGCCCCATGTTTTGGAAACTGGAATAGGGAAGGAAGTGCTACACTTTTCTAGACACTGATAGACTTCAATTTAAAATCCTTGTTGTTGGGGGCGCCTGGGTGGCTCAGTCGTTAAACATCTGCCTTCGGCTCAGGTCATGATCCCAGTGCCCCTGCTCGCTGGGAAGCCTGCTTCTCCCTTTCCCTCTCCCCCTGCTTGTGTTCCCTCTCTCGCTGTGTCTCTCTCTGTCAAATAAATAAATAAAATCTTTAAAAATAAATAGATAAATAAAATCCTTTTTGTTGGGGCACCTGGAGGGCTCAGTCGGTTAAGAGTCCAACTCTTGATTTCAGCTCAGGTCATGATCTCAGGGTTGTGAGATTGATCCCCTCGTCTGGCCCTGCGCTCAGTGGGGAGTCTGCTAGAGATTCTCTTTCTCCCTCTGCCCCTCCCCCTGCTCATGCTCACGCACTCTCTCTCTCTTTCTCTCTCACATAAATAAATAAATCTTTTTTAAAAAAGTGAAAGAGCACTGCATGTTATACGCAAATAATGAATCATGGAAACTACATCAAAAACTAATGATGTACTGTATGGTGACTAACATAACATAATAAAAAAAGTAATAATAAAAATAAAT